GATTATGTGGTATATATATAAGAACTATGACATAATAAATGAAAATATTTTTTATTATTTTTAGAGAGTGACAATTCCAAAAAGAAATGTGATATAATGAAAGAAGAGTTAACATTAATGTACAAAAGTGATTTTTGAAAAATCATCGAGTTGTCAAATAATTATAAAAGAATTAATTTTAAATTAGTATTTAAGACTAAATATGATTTAAAGGTCAATATTATATGATATAAAACTAGACTTGTGATAAAAAACTTTACTTGTAAAAAAAAATATCGATCATAGTGAGATTTTCTTTAATTTTTAAATAGATTCATCAAGAATCATCATAACATTAGTGGTTTATTATGATATTGAATTTCATCATATGGATATGAAAATAAAATTGTTGAATAAAGATTTAGATGATAAAATTTATATAAAACAACCTAAAGAATTCATAGAAAATGAAAAAGAAATTTGGCTTACAACCTAAGAAATACATTTGTAACATTAAATAAGCTTCTAAACAATAGTATATATAGTACTATGATATTATTTTATTATATTTATATAAAATACTATTAATCAGTGTTTCTATTTAAAGGTTAATGAGAGTAAGTTTATTATATTGGTTTATTGATGATATCTTTGATTGTCAATAATGATCTTAGTTTATTGCATGAGATCAAGATATTTTTCACTAATAATTTTAAGATGATTGATATGAACGAGATAACGTATTATTGATATTTAGATATTTATAAATATATCTTAATAATTATCAAAATTATCTTAGAAAGAGTATATTAATCATGTCTTGAAGAGATTTAGTATACTAGTGATATACCTATTACCATAAGTAAAAAAATTTGTTAAAACTAGTGTCTTAAGAATGAGGTGGAAAAGATTTAAATAAAATATACTTCATATATATACGTCGTTGAAAGTCTATTATGCTTAAGCCTATATTAGACCAAATATTAGTTTTCAGTAAAAAATGTTAGGTAGATATAAAGTTACCCATAAATGGAATATCAAAAGATTATAAACAAAATAATAAAATATCTACAAAAGATAAAAGAATTATATATTTACATTCAAGAGATCAAATCAACTTAAAATGATGGGATTTTTATATGTTAATTCAATAAACTACCTAAATAGTAGGAAGTATACTATACTATATATATATATATATAATTAGCTAGAGAGGTAATTTTCAAGAATAGTATAATGTAAATTATATTAAAAATAGAAGTTGATTTTAAGCCATTGAGGCTTCTAGGTTACTAATTAAACTTTGTAACTATAAAATTTTATCTTATGACTCAGTATAGTTAGACTCAATTATCAAATCGTTGAAAATATATTTTGATACATCATAATAATTTTCTGCTCTAAAAATGATAAGTACTTTGGTAGTTATATATATTATGATATAAAGTACTTGATAGTTAGAGAAAAAATCCAGAATTAACTAATATCAATTGAGAATCTGAGATTCACTATATTAATTTTTGATCCATTTACTAAGGTATTACAACCTAAGATATATATATATATATATAATTAAAATTATTTATTTTTAATGGACATCATAAATAATATTATATATAATTAAAATTATTATTTTGCTATCCTATTTATATTTATATATGTACATATTATGAAATATGATAATAGGATTATTTTAATAAGATAAATTACAAGAGTCAGATTACATTGGGAAAAACTAATAGTATTGTGGTACATCGAGTATATATTAATGATATCTAATTTTTATGTCTTACATTTTTAGTAAGACTTAATGTAGTATTATTATATTTATCGGTCAATAAAAAAAATCTAATTATGATAGAATTTTTTATGAGGGATGATTGGTAATTTTTTATCTTAGATTTTTCGCTCTTGTCTTTAAAAGATATGACTTCCTAAAAACTAATTACAAATTAATTTATAGTAATCATATAAAAGATAGAAAGAGAGGAGAAGATACGTCTAGTTCCTCTTATAAATTGATTCCTTCAAACCTGATAACAATCCGTTTATAGATCAAAAGAAGGATATTCTAAACAACATCGAGTTATCGGTATCTTAAATTTAACTTATTATTGTTTGATTAAATTTTTTTATTATATAATATTAGTATGATTATAGTTCTTATGTTTTGAGTAATAAATGAAGCTAGACTTTTAGGTTCAATCAAAGAATACAATGCTAGTTTAAATTCTCCCTTTTTATTTTTAATTTATGTCAATATACCCTATCCTTGTTACATGTTAGGTGATCAAATGATCCGTGCCCTTTTTAGAACTTAATGATTACACTTAGGTCTTCTAATCAGTATTTGGCCGAGTGTCATCTGCCAAGATCTGCCACCACCTGATCATTATCCACTTCAACTCATCGATGGATTTCACAACCAATATATCTAGATATGTGTGTCCCTATTACCTCTTTCAAATCCTGTACAAAGTAAGCAGCTAAAATAAGGACATATGTCAATACTTACTGAATCCCCACTTCAGCCCTCATGTAAGCATGAAAGCAAAACCTGACTCAACCTGTTGGAGATTGATACGTTCATCCAGGATATATAGACCATGTTATGTCCTTGGTTTTACATGTTGTGAGTCCATCAATGGTTATTAGTGTCGAAGAGATGGTCGATCGAACTGTTTAGATGACCAACCTCTTGTTTCTTTACATGCAGTGTAAGTTATCTGTGAAATATCCTTTTCTAGATGATTTTATTATTTTATGCTGCATATATTTGTCCTGCACAGAGGTTTTATGTATTTAAATATAAATGCACATATTCATTTATATATATAGTTTTGTCTACTTGTTTTGATAAGGCATTTGTGTTGAGTGTAGGTTATGCAACATATTGATGCTGCACTGTTGTCACACCCAATTAGGAAGCAGTTGATGCTTATTTTTCGAGTGATAGAGGACATTAGCATGTTCTTAAGGGCATATTTACTATGATCATAGGATCATATATCATGTATGGACCAGTGTTAGGTGATGAAGAAGACATTGCATTTTAGGGACAAGTTTATTCCCAATCACATCTTGAAGAAACAAAAACCATCTTAGAGAATTTAATGCTACAAGAGCGTTTCTCTTTTTATATGTTCTGAGCATGCCATCAATGTCATCTTGCAATCTTAGGGATCCTTAATGCTGCAAGATCATGTTTTCTTTACGCTAGTTAAAGTTCCATGAATAATGGATCCATGATTACATGGGTCACTCTCAGTCTCAGTCCTCTCTCTTTGACAGAGAACAAAGGGAGAAAAAGGAAAGGAAAAGACAAGCCATAAGGAATCACAGATCATTTTCCACTTTGTCCTCCTTTTTTTCTCGCACATTTAATTGGGAGTGCTGTGGACGCAAAGACTTCCTTTCATTTCCCCCACCTGCAATGTCTTCTTGCATTTAAACTTATCAGTACCCTATTTAAGAGAATATTCTGCTGCCATGCAAGATCAAATGACCTGCTAATTCTGCAAGCAAGTCCAAACATTTCAGTGCCTAACTGATGCCCCTTATATCACTAAAGGAATCACTCACTGATGGCAACCTGAAACTGGTGTAATAGTCTCACTGATGTCCAAAACAAGAGTCTCATGTGCTCCTTGGGAATCAACTACATTAACTAATGTTGGATTATGTGGATGATCCATGAAACATTATTCTATGTAGGTCAACTAGTCACAGTACTCTTCATCACTTTATTCTACGTAGTCCATGCAAAAATGTGATGTAGTCATAATAGAAGATGGAGTTTCAATCCAGACTGAGGTGGAAGTATCCATTAGGATCTCCCAAGATGCCAGGAATTGGGATTCTTTTCCAGTAATAATATTGTAAATCAAAACATCCTAATTTAAATTAATTTTATGTTATCTTCATGGAACAAAATTTTATTGCCTAATAAAATTTCATTTAGAGCAAACATCAATTTTTTTATTTTCCTGAAAAATGCTTCCGAGACCACAAGAGAGCTGTGATCGCCGTGCTTTATTTAAAGCGGATCGAGCCGTCCACACCGCTTTCACGTGGTGATCGAATCCGACCACCGTGATGCCGCTGCTGATCCCCACTTCTTGCAGAGAGAGGTATGCGGCCGGAAAACGTTTCCCGTCGCGACTCGGGAATCGATTCCGGTTGTCGGAAAAGCGTTTTCCCATTTCCGAACGCAAATCCGGAAGCCCGATCACGCGTTCGATGGCCTTCAGGTCTTGCCCGGGCTGTCATTGGCAGGAACTGGTGGGCTCATGAGTCCTTCTCATGCGGGTACGCCTCAGGGTACTCGTTACATCGATCGCTTGGAGTTTCGTGCGTCGTACCATGGACCCCACTGATCGCACGGCTCTGATTGCTTTGCCGCTCGAGATTTGACAAACCGTGAACAGGTCCAAACATAGGAGGAGCTCGTGAAGCAAGCCTCGGATTTCCGGACGCGTGTCAGGAGATGGCGAAGTTACATTTATGCCCTCGTCGGGAAAGCTTGCATGGTTGATGGGATGATAATTGTATGATTGATGGCCATGCGCAGGCATAGGTAGGCATCAGTGTCCCATCCATCTACGTCATCATAACATCATCACCGAATCCACTATTTATATAAATATATTCCATATAATTCTCACTATTCTTTAGGATAAGTTTATAAATAATCGAAATCTAAGTAAAATTTGATGATGGATTCTTTGCTCAATCTCACGAATATACGGAACTAAACCCAAATCATACAATCATCGTTGCCAGTGGTTGTCTGCTGTTCTCCTCGGTGATTGCAGACGGCAGTTGTCATCCTCTGTATCCTAATTTGCTTAGACCAAACTTGGCGCAGCTATCGATGAACAGAAGAAGCTCATTATGATCTAATTAGTCCAATTCTTTCTCTGTGGCTCGTTCGCCACAAGCAAGATGGCATTTTTAAGGTCTCCGTCTTCATAATGTTATAGATGAGAGGCCAAAGGGCATAGCTTTAAAGTCATTTTCTCAAATAGCTTGCGGGCACCGCTCCACAACCAACCGTCGCTTTCGCGTGACGGCGACGTCTCGGTAGAAAACAAAGGAAGAATTCCCGTTATTTATGGCACGTTTAAATGCCAGAGGCAGACGCTGCAAATATAGCCAAGGTCGGTGGCGACTGCGCCGATCGATTGTTCTGTAGGCATGTTGCGCTCTTGAGTGGGTGTGCTTCGCTTCACTCTCTCGCTTCGCGGTGTACGGTCGAGCCGTTAGGGTTGCTCAGGTTGGATCTCTTAATCGCGTGCTTCTTGAACTCTAATTTTGTGTGGTCGCTTTTGGGTTTTTCTCGTTGGAGTGTGCCTTACTGGGATTGACGTCGGTGTTGGTGTTCAAGATTCGATCTTGGGCTGTCCTTTCGGCTGAATTAGGCAATACGTTGTAGATCTTGGGGCTTTCTTTTGTTTTATCTGATTCTTGGCTCAAAGGTTAGGGTTTTTGTCTCACGCTTGCGCATTTAGGTTGGCTTGGATACCTGCAATGGTGTTTTAGATCATGTTGAGCCTGAATCTTTCTGTTTGAAATTAAAGAAGGGTTTTTATTTGTACTAGACAACATTTCTCCTTTTCTTTTCATAACTGCAAATTTGTGTGATCAGGGGATCGGTGATCCGACATATTTTGGAAGTCCATTTTGTTGGTCTTCCTAGCCTGAAAAATTGTTGCTTTCATGGATGTAGGATTTGGTACAGTGCTTCTTTCGTAGTGTATATTTGGTTGATTTATTTATTTATAATTGAAGTGAGAAATAGATGTGCCTTTTTAGTTCGAGCAGAAGAGGTAAAAAAAGAAGCTTGATTACACTGCAAAGAGAGAATCTTAATTACGTTTCAAGATCCTGCAGGTTTCACATACTATGTTTCATTTTTCTTCTCTTTCGTGATTCTTTGGTTATTATTGTAATTTTATAGCTGAATTAATGACCATATGCTTCTTCCTATATTTTTTTCTCAAAGGATAATAAGGAACTAAACTAATGTGCTCTGTCTCTTGACTGATTTCTGGACATAAAATCTTTTTAGGTCTGAAGTTCCAGCTTATGCTTGATCATGCTTTTTGCTTCACATTGTTGTTGAGATGAAGTTGTAGTTGCAGTTTCCACTTGGCTTTCTTTAGGATAAGAAACTTGAACAGCAATGGATAATTCATGGGAACAACCGCTGGAATCGACATTGATAATAATCGTAGAGGGCCTTGGATATTAGCCTTTTCTTTTAATTCATTAAAGAAACCAAATCAAATTTAGGATGCTCTGAAACCTTATATGGTTAATTGCTGCGAGCAATGGAATCGAGACTCATGGTCCTAAAAGAAGAGTCAGTGACTTATTTCAATCGAGCTGCAGGCGTCACTTTATCTGTCAAACAGATAGCTGACTTAGCAGCATTTTGATGTGAGAGATTCGAGGTACATTGTCAAAGATTTACCACAGAACATATCCTGATACCATCTAGGCATAGAACAGGAACATCATGGTCACTGACAAATATTCTTCTTGACCTTTCCAGCCTGTGATTTGCCTAAATAACTAATTTTGCTTACGTTAGATCTGAATTTCTGAAAATTAACCATGTGTTTTATGTTCTAAAGCCATAGATACATCAGAATATCTTGGCACTATACCTCTTGATACTCTTGTCTACTACCCATATTCTTTCAACAAGTACTCCAGACATTGATGACCTAAAATTTTCATATTCTTCTCAAGTCTGCATCTGTCATATTTCAGTTCTAGCAGATTCAAGAAGCAGTTCTGTGAGGTCAAAGCACTACATATCGATCCCTTTTTTCTTATTAATCATCATTCTCTTCTCAACTTTAGCTATAATTTTGGTACTTTTTGCAGCTTTACTTGTGTTATCTGTTTGTTATTCTCCCTGAGGTTTTGTAATTCTATCTCTTTGTTTCTTGGGTTCAGGAATCCTTTGTTAAAATACTTGTCATTGATCAGAAGTACAACCGATGGAATCCTCAATGATTTCGAATCACACAAGGAAAGACTCTGAGGATACTACAATAGAGTTTGGTAAAGCAACAAACTCTATTAACATTGGCATCTCACCAGTCAAAATTGCACATGTCGAGCGGCAGAGCTCAACAGAAAGTGAGGAGTCCTCTGAGTCTAGTGATGAAGTTCGGGCAATTACTGAAAGAAGTCGACCTATTATAAGATCTGCAACTCCTAGAAGATCTGCTTCTCCCATGCGACGAGTACAAATAGGAAGATCTGGATCTCGCAGGTCTACTGCACTGACTATTAAGAGTCTCAATTACTTTCCTACGAGGGAAAGAATTGCATCCAACAGGGATGAAGATGAAAACAGCAGCAGGGATGAAATGACAGAGCAGCCAACTAAGAAACCTGAGAACACGGTAAGAAGGATGAGTGTCCAAGAGGCAATTAATCTCTTTGAAAGCAAACAGAAAGATCAAAATTTGGATGTCCAGAAAAGAAGAGCTTTAGGAGAAGTCTCCAGTAGTACCAATAAAGCTGTCTTAAGAAGATGGAGTGCTGGAATGAGTGAATCTCTAACTCGTTCTCAGGAAAATGCTTCCGAGTCCACATCACAAGACACTAGTGCCAATTTGGTTCTTGGGGTTGGAGATAATAAATTGACTGATGTGAAGGTGGAGTCTGATATTCCTTCAGGTAATTTTAGTGCAACTGAATCTGACATTGTTCAGATTGTTAAATCTCCACACTTAGAGAAGGATAGTTCTCCTGGGCTAGTAATATCTGGAGCTCAAGAAACTGATGACAGAGCAGCTGCCTCGGCTGAGTGGAGTAGAAGGAAAGAAGAGGAGCTTAATCAAATGCTAATGAATATGATGGAGAGAAGGCCTGGCAATTACCGAGGCACTAATGGTGGTTGTGGTGGATCTCTGTCTGTCTCGAATGAGCATAGAGGCGATTTTTATAGTCAGTATAAGGAGAAAAGGGATGAGAAACTTAGAGCAGAAAACGTCAATAAGCATCCGGTGATGGAAACACAACTTAAGGTGTTTCAAGAAACCCTTAAACAAAGCAAAGCAGATATGGTCTCAAAATCTGGAGTCTCTACCAGAAAACTTGACTGGTCCGGTAATTCCCAACAACCCCGAAGAAATTCATCTCCACCGGTGTTACACAAGAAAGAAGATTCAAAAGCAACAGCAACCAGAAAATCTTTGCCAAACACATCATCTTTGCCAACTACACATGCTTCATGGTCATCTGGAACTTCCCTGAAGGCAAGTGGAGTCCAACAAGCTAAAACTTCTCCTAGAGTGACTTCTGCTAATGCCAATCTGAGCCGCCGGAAGTCACAGCCCACAGCTTCTCCGACCCCACCAAGCTCCAAAACTGAAAGGATATTACATCAACCAAAAGGTAAGTTGGAAGCCAAAACTGATGTCAAGCCAACTTTAGTAGTTCAAGGAGAAAAGAAGCAGAAAACAACACCAAGAACCCACAAAACTCTGAAAGCCAATGCTCCATTACCTCCTGAAGATGATTCTGGTACAGCGACAGCAAAGCCAAGTTTCTACAACAAGGTCACGAAGAAGAGTAGTGTTGTTCCTTTGGAGGCTAAACCGTTCTTGAAAAAAGGCACTAGGACTAGGCCTGGTGTTGGTCCCATGATAACGAAGACCAAAGTTGCTCAGTCTGATGCTTCATCAAAGATAAGTGACACTATTAATCAAGCTGAAGTAAAGGAGCCTATACTTAAGATCACTGAATCAACTGCTAAGGTAGTGGAGGTTGACCTTTCTCAACAAGCAAATGATGTTGATGCAGATTTAGATACTTTGCAACATAATGATTTAAGTGTTGGAAAAGCAGAAACTCTAGATCAAAGTTTAGCTGAAGTGGATAATGGCTTGAAAAACTCTGTAGAACCTCCTGTTGCTGAGATCCAACCTGATGAGAGTATAGGCATCTCATCAGCTGCTTGGGTGGAAGTGGAATGTGAGGAGGTTTCCACTGGAAATGGCACTATTTTATCTGAAGCCTCTGTCTCCACCATGTTTGCACCACTGCCACTATCAAGCCCACGTGTCCGACATTCATTATCCCAAATGCTTCAAGCTGATAGCAACGAACCAGAGGTCATCGAGTGGGGAAATGCTGAGAACCCTCCTGCAATGATCTATCACAAAGATGCACCCAAAGGATTGAAAAGGCTATTGAAGTTTGGTCGTAAGAGTAAGGGAGAGGCAAATGTGACTGGTTGGGCCAGCCCATCTGTCTTCTCGGAAGGAGACGATGATACAGAATATTCCAAGAATTTGGATACGATGAGAAAAACTGCCCTTCAACCCAAAAGCTATGACCAGCAGAAAACCATGCCTGATGAAAGCTTGTGTGATGGAAATTCAAGTAAGAGGGCAGTTGAGTATCATGGAGTTCATGATGTCTTATCAGGTACAACAACAACAACACTCCTAATTACTGTGACCATCAAGTTATTTTAGTTGGCCATAGCCATCTCCAGAAAAGTTAAAAATATGGTATTTATAGATTATTCCTCAGGATGTTAGAAAGAACAAATTGCAGCATGCAGCACTAAACATTAATGTTGTTACATGGTATTCTAACTATGAGAATAAATAATTAAGCATTGGTCTATTGAAGAAACAGATCATATGTTTTTTAATCAAGTGAACTGATGCAAAACTTATAGCTCCATGCATCATCCTGGGAACACTGAATAAGCAAACATTTTAAGCATTTTGCTACACCTATTTGATCAATCTTGCTGCTCAATTTATTTGATTAGTCTGTTCAGTGGATACTGCCAGTTAATGATGCATGCTAACCCCAAGTAGTTATGTCTTCCGATGAGGCACGGCCTAGTAAATCCAACTATTTTAAGCACAACTATGTGGTGTGCTTTATTATTATTATTGTACGTATGCTTTGTGAATGCTTGTGCAGCTCTATGAAACGATAGCAATTATATTTCTTCAGGTTCTGACAAGTTTCAGGAATGCCATGTTTCATCAGCAGCTACCTCGACTAAGGGTAAAATTTCGATACAACAAATTCATCAGTCAATGTTCCTAAATTAAATGTTTCCTTCAGTTTTGTGAGCTCTTAACAATATTTGCCACTACTTTCAGCAACCAGGTCATTCTTCTCTCTCTCGACATTTAGGAGCAACAAATCAGGTGAAACAAAGTCTCGATAGTTCACAAAGCTACCAGTGATATAGCACCTGTCAGTGTCTCGCCCTGTTCAACCACAGAGAGGCCAGCTTTGGTTCAAGGAATACATATGCACATTCACCTATGATAAGGAGGGTCAATGTTGTTTTGTTGTGTCTTTTCCTCTCTTCTTTAGTGTTTTCATCTTCCAGGTAGGTGATATTGTGCATATGAACAATCTTAGAGCAGAATTAATATGCTCAGGATTAATGTGACTAATGTAATGTCTTGTTGCAACAAACTCTTATATTGTATATCTCTGGATATTTGCCTCTGCCTGATCAATGAACAGCTGAAATTGTTGAAACTTTGATGATTCGTATTTCTTGGTTAGCCCATATTTCTTTCATTTACACCATGAAAGAAGCTTAAAAGTAATGCAAATCGATAGTCTGAGGGGTTGTTCTCTGCTGCTGCTCTCTCTTAGGCATACATCCATTTGTCCAAGAAAACCTTCAGCTGCTGCTCATGTGAAGGCAGGTGCATTTTGGAACTGAATACAATTGTGATTGATACATTGTGCAATGTTCAAGTCAGCCAATCCATGGAAGAGAGAAGAAGAGATCGCAGCCATAAGGCTTAAACTCGATACACTTCTTGGGTTACGTATAGAATTTAAATAGCCAAAAGCAATAATCTCAAAAGCTCACAGAGAGGTAAGCAATGGGTTTGATTGGCTGGTAGGATATCTGATGCCACATTTCCCAACTTTATCTGCCACATTTCCCAACTACCATTAATTAGCATTAATAAGAGAGATGAGATAAAGGATGTGCATACAAATAAAGAATAAATTGACCATCTAATGTCTAAGGATGAATGTGTTTATCACTATGCCCAATGGAGTGCATTAATTAATTAGTGTGGAAAAGGTAAAAGATTTTGTGCTTTGGAATGTGGCCAAAGAATAAATTGACCTTAATGCCTGAGAACGAAAGGATTCAATTAAGAGAACAATTGTTTATGTTAAATGGAACTCAAGTAAAACATCCCACCTGTTCATATCTTGATTTGCTATATATAGATGGATAGATATGAGGTGTACTTAAGACAAACTGCTCATCAGATTTAGAGGATAAAAATATTTCTGAAGTGATGGCAAAAGTGCATTTGTCACCTAAATATGTTCCAATGTTGACAGAAGGTGGAGAGCAGGAAGATGAGGAAACTAATCCATTCAGGTGGATGATTGAGGGTTTCTCTACCCTTCTAAACCATACTGCAGTGACGCACCGCTCTGGGAATTTCGCAGCTTGTGGCTTCACCTGGTGAGTTCGAGTTGGGTTCTTACTCACTCCCTTGCTTCTCATTACCAACATTGAAACATGTAATTTGTGTGCGATCTTTACTCACTGTTTCAGCACAATTGGGGTAATGTGGCATGTCAACCTGTACTTGCTATCAAGCTGAGATGCTGCTCTTGAATGATTCTGCTTATCTATTTTCTTCCTTCAACTGTTTTTTCATGTGGGGATGCTTCTTCAGCATGTTATGCTGCCAAAAACCTGATTCTTTCATATTTACTTTTGAGTCTTGAGGCGCCTCAAGACACTTAGAAGGTGTATGATCTTTTGGTTTAGTCAGCCATGATTTACAATCATCTAATCTTTTTACAAAATGAAAAAAAAAAAAAAAGTATCGATATATTCCATTGAATCGTATAGTTGCTTGTAGAAATCCTAGCAGACATCTAAGAGTTCAAGAAACACTTGCAGGAATTTGCAGCTGGAAATAAAATCGTCTGTAGAAGATGATGAGAAATCTCTCTGTCTTTACCTATTCTCAGATGAAGTGTCGTCTAATACTGGTTCGGTGGTCAAGGCAACCTACCAACTGAAGATATATGACCAGTTATACGGGGAGCACATACAGATCAAAGGTAACATCTAAACCAATAAACTATATGGCAGAATTTGTTAGATATCTGGTACTCATTTGCATATGTTGATGGACATGTATTTCTAAGGAAATATAGAAGACATATAGCTATGAAGACATAGATTGAACGCGGTATTTTTGATCACAAACTATGTAGCATACAAATATTACCCTAAGTATTATGTCTAAAGCTTCAATCAACTTTTCTTAAGGGCAAACAAGATTTGGATAATCATTTTCTTCATGAGGGATGTGCTGCAATGCCTTGATGTTATTTCATGGCACTTTTATACAGTTGGCAGATGTAACTTATATTGCTATTTGTCGTAATAAGTATACATACTTGAATTAAATATTCTCGATTGCTTCGATGCGTGTGTAACCATTTTTGTTTGCTAGCCCATGTGTGGAGTATTTTGTACCAAAAAATTTGTTGGATTTGTTTCCATGTATCAGCTCAAGCTTTCAGATGAATGACTGTTGTTTCATAATTTAACTAGCATTTTTATGCGAGCAATTTTTAAAAGCTTGAATCATTTTATTCATTAGTGGCTATTTGGATCTTCAACATTCTCCAGGTGGCTCCAAATTAATCCCAAGCATATTCAGTTTATACCTCAGTTGTTTCTTTATCTCAGGCAAGATAAAGATGAAGTTGCATATTCTGATTACCCCATATTGCAACTGAAATTGCCGATTGCTTTGCTTGAATGGTGAATATGTATCCTTTCTTTCATTACCTCTGGTGTCTTTTCTATAGTTTTGTTTTCTGTCCATCAGCTGTTTCTCTGGTGTCAATATGAAAATTTCTTGTATTCATTGGTATGACAGGAGACAATTCTCTCCTTATTCACATGTTGTCATCATAATGATTATTTTTCTTAGTGACCTATTGCAGCTAACATCTATGACATCGAACTTAATGTTCGTTTCTGTGTGCTGCTAAACCAACATTGTTTATGGATTTTTTTAAGGTAAAAGCATCGTTGTTGTTGATTGATTTAAATCCTTGGCATAAAATTCATTCTCTTTAGTATTCTCTGTGTTATCTTAATTGTGTGTTTTTTCAGTACTTAACATACTTTTGATGGTAATAATAATGCTCCATGGTATTATCATGTGCAGGTGAATGCTATTTCCATGGCACATCTCAATATGGATTATGCTGTATGGTCCCCTTAAAAAAATTCAAGGATCCGAAATCTGGACTACTAGTCAATGATTGTTGCGTTTTCGGTGCTGAAGTCATGGAGGCTTTTGCATGCAAATTAGGACGAGAAGGTGTCTCTGAGTGCTTGTCCCTGAATAAGGAAATAACCCCTCAAACAGCTACATGGGTGATCAAGAATTTCTAGAAACTGAGTACAAAGCAAGTTTCTGAAGTTTTTACTTCAGGGGGTTACAATTGGTAAGTCTGCAATCAGACTGCACATTATCTGTTTTGACTAAATTATCATTGTATAATTCTCTCAAATGTTTATTGGTCCAGCTAGTATTTTAATTCCATTTTTGATCTTTTGTCTACATCTATTTGATCTCCCTATAGTTATTCTGGTTTTTGATTTTTTCATCCAAAAGCATTGAGCTGTCTTTGTTGATTGCTAAGAACCATGAGCCGGGTTCAGTTTTTACTTTTTAAACTATGAAGTTCTTGGTTTTTCGTCACTAATAGTAAATAATTAAGTGGGTGTTTCCTTATAAGTGGTGTTGCTAACCTATGAGCTCTCGACTGCCATATGATGTTAACCACAGGATGTTTTTATTCTTGACATATTCAGGCATATCGATTTATATCCAAGTGTTCAATCTCACCCAAACATCTTCGCTATGTTTGTGGTCCTGGATAAATTCATCCTTTTTTCTACCAAAACTCGAGTATATGTGGATTACAGCCTCTGCTTGGTGGACCAAATCAATGGCAAACATGAGAAGATATCAGGTTTGGTTGTGCTCGCTAGTTTTTTGCTTGAATCATTCATCTGATTCTACGTTTTTATTAAAAAAAGTCATTTGCCATGAAATCAGACGTGAGACAAATGGACTTATTAACTCGATATATCTATTATCTTAATAGCTCATATGCCCTGATAAAACTTGAGGATCACTGGTGCCTCAGTATCTTTCGTGATGTATATAGCTCTTTTTTATTCGAGTCCTTGTAATTTTCTTAAATATATTGCATTTTATATCATGAACCTAAGTTAATAGTATACAAATCCCAATCTTCTCCTACTTCCAATGTATGATTAATCTAAAATCTTGCTTTGTTTCTGCAGAGCGAGATCAATTTGCCTCGGGGAGAGGCTGCTGGAGACGTGTCATGCTTCTGAACTTGAAAGATATACAAAATCCATCAAGGGGATTCCTTCACAACGAAACTTGCATTGTTCTAGCATCCCTTACTGTTCTTGGAAATGTCAACATTACTTAGAACACTGGTGTATTACCCTTTGATGACTTGTTTATTAATGTTTCAAGAAAACCACATGTCGACCTCTTAGATTAATCCTATTTTGAAGCTTTATCAGTAGGAAGTAGGCTGTCTGACTCTTCGATGCCACCGTAATCATCTTGTTGGTGGTAATAATAGTACTCCATGGTAACATCATGTGCTGGTGAAGGCTATATACTTTCCATGATTCATCTCAATGTGGATTATTCTGTATGGTCCTCTTCAAAAAAAATTCAACGATCCAATATCTTGACAATGTGTCATGCAAATTAGGACAAAATGGTGTCTCCGAGTGCTTGTCTTTGAAGAAGGTAATAACCCCGGAAACTTATACTTGGGTGATTAAGAATTTCTCGAAACTGTGTAGAACTAGAATCTGAGCTTTTTACATCCAGGGGTTACAGCTGGTACATCCGCAATAATACTGCACATTATCTGTTTTGACTAAATTTTCATTGGTGCATCAATTATGTTGATTCCATTTCTGCTGTTTTATCTAAATCTTTTTTAGCTCCTCGTCATTGTTCTGGTTTCTGTTTTTTCATCCTGAAGCATTGAGCTGGCTTTCTTGATAGCTAAACATCATGAGCTGGGTTGAGATTCTATGGTTGAATCTATGTAGTTATTGGTTTGTCTTCACCATTAGAAATGGTTACGCTGGTTTTCTTGGTTGTTACCGATCGTGAACTGGGTTTGATACTCACAAGTCTTGTTTCTAACCTTTGAGCTCTCGACTTTCATAGCTCATACACCGACCTCCTCGCTATGTACTTGGTCCTGGATGATCCAGTTGCTCTTCCTTCCAAGACAAGAATGTATGTGGATTTCAATTTTTGCCTGCTGGATCATTTCAATGGCAAACATAAGAAGAATCCAGATTGAGAATCCATTTCTTTTATTTTTTGCAGGGCAAAATCAACTTTCCTTGAGGAGTTCAGTTGGCGATGGAACAGATTTTGTAGCGGAAAGATGTCCATAGTTCAGAAAGATTGCATGTTCTGTTCTTCGAGAAGTCAGCACACTATTTGAACAAATGGTGGGGCGGATGTTAATCTTCAATGAGGAATGTCATACGAGTTGTAAGAATTCACACACCAGTTGTGTTTTGTGTCTTGTTCCCTATTTCTGCTTGTGTTCTTCAGGTGCATGCAATCAGTGGCTTAGAGCATTAACGCAATTAGCAGAACCAATAATATCGTATTTGTCTTGGCGTTTGTCTCTTCCTGACGAATGAACAGCTGAAATGTTTGATACTCTGATGATTCTTATGTCTGTCTTATGTCTCTTTTATCGACACAATTAAAGAACGCTTAAAGCAATGCAAATTGCCAGCACGAGTGGTTAGTCTCCGCTGTTTTCTCGTAAGAAAACCTTTTGCTGCCGCTCGTGTGAAGGCAGATCCATTTTGGAACTGTAAACATCTGTGTTCGAGTCGCACAATCCACGGAAGAGAGAAGAAGCATACTGCAACAATAAAGACTTAAAACTCGCTAAGACTACTTAGATTATGTGTAGAATGTTTGTATAGCACGTCTTGTAGCGAAGAATCAATTATATTGATGGGAATGAATCCAACATTAATATTATTGTGTGTTCGAACCATTAATGTTCGAGGATGAATATATTTCGTAACATAATGTCTATAATTGTGCTGATTGCCTAACTTGAGAGTGGAAAGGTATAAGAATTGGTAGGTGGCCAAAGAATCGATTGACCTCGATACCTAAGAAAGAATGGATTCAATGGAAAGAACAATAGTGTTTGTTGCATGGAAGCCAAGTAAAACATCCCGACTGTTCAAATCTAGATTTTGTATGTACATGCTCGTCTATATATAGAGATAGATTTGAGATGGATGTAAGACAAACGACCTGTTAGATTTAGGGGATAAGTAGATTCCGGAGTGATGGCCAAAGTGCTTTCGTCCCGTTCTTCGACTTCACCTCGGTACGTTCCTATCTTAACAGAAGGTGGAGAGAAGAAGGCAGGTGAGAAGACTAATCCATTCAGGTGGATGATCGAGGGTTTCTCTACCCTTCTGAATCAAACTGCGGAAACACATTCCTCTGGCAACTTCTCAGCTTGTGGCTTCACCTGGTGAGTTTGAGTTCGGTCCTTTCAAAGTCTCTTGCCTTTCAGCGCAGAAAAGAATGCAAACATTTGCCTTGTGCGTGAACTGTACTCACTGTTTCAGCAATGGTTTGGTATGTCGCTTGTAGCTTCTGTTTAATCCATTCTGCTTATATTCTCCCATGAGTTAATTTTCCTGGAAGAAAGCTTCCTCGGCATGTTATGCCACTAAAAACCTGCCTATCCGAAATCTACTTGAGCTTGAGGCCAAGACGCCTTCAAGATGTATGATCATTTGTTTCAGTTAACCATGATTTACAATCATCTAATCTTTTTACAAGAAGAAAATACAGTAAATGGCGTTTCAAGACGTGTCTACTGGTAATATCCCCATGATTCTTTTAGATGCTTGTATAAACACTAACAGAGAGAAGTTTCATAAAGACATCTAAGAATTCAAGCAACACTTGCAGGAAGTTGGAGCTGGAAATAAAATCGTCTGGAGAAGATGCTGAGAAATCTCTCTCCCTTTGCCTATTCTCAGTTGAAGCATCATCTTCTACTGGTTCGGTGGTCAAGGCAATCTACAAACTGTTGATGTATGACCAGTTATATGGGGAGCATATACAGAAGGAAGGTAACATCTAAACCAAAAAGTGATATGGCAGAATTTGTTAAATATCTGGTAATTATCTGCATATATTGATGGACATGTATTTGCTAAGGAAATATAGAAGACATATAATCATGAAGACAAAGATTTAAAGGGATATTGCTTATCACAAACCATATAGTCTACAAATATTAACCTAAGTATTGTCTCTATAGCTTCAATCCACATTTCTTAAGGGCAAACTAGATTTGGATAACCATTTTCTTTATGAGGACTATGCTGCAATACTTTGATGTTATTGCATGGCATTTTTATGCGGTTGGCAGATGTAAATAAGTATATGCAGTAGAATTCAGTATTCTTGATTTCTTAGATGCACATATATAAATGATTTGATTGCTAGCCCATGCATGAGGAATTTTTATACTAAAGATTGTTAGATTCATTTCCATTTATCAGCTCAAGCTTTCAGATGAATGACAGTGGATTCACAATTTAACTAGCATTTTTCTACAAGCAATGGGCAAAAGCTTGACTCATTTAATTCGCAATTTTTTTTAGGAGGCTCAAAATTGATATTCCCTAACATGTTTATTTTATACCTCAGTGGGTTCTTTAGCTCAAGCAAGATAAAGCTGAATATTCTGATTACCGCATAATGCAACTGAAAATGCCAAATGCTCTCTTGAGTGTTTTTTGTATTATCTTTTAGAATTGTCGCATAAGTTCTTAAACATATTATCTACAAAGTTGAGGTGTATGTATGCTGTAACTAGATATGTTCCTCAAAAGAAAATTATATGTTGGATCATAATAATTTTTTGAAGCTTTATTGGTAGGAAGTAGGCCGTCTCACTCTTCGATGTCACCATAATCATAGTATTGGTGGTAATAATAATGCTCCATGGTATTATCATGTGCAGGTGAATGCTATTTCCATGGCACATCTCAATATGGATTATGCTGTATGGTCCCCTTAAAAAAATTCAATGATCCGAAATCTGGACTACTAGTCAACGATTGTTGCATTTTCGGTGCTGAAGTCATGGAGGCTTTTGCATGCAAATTAGGACGCGAAGGTGTCTCTGAGTGCTTGTCCCTGAAGAAGGAAATAACCCCTCAAACATATACATGGGTGATCAAGAATTTCTCGAAACTGAGTGCAAAACAAGATTCTGAAGTTTTTACTTCAGGGGGTTACAAATGGTAAGTCTGCAATCAGACTGCACATTATCTGTTTTGACTAAATTATCATTGTATATTTCTCTTAAATGTTTATTGGTCCAGCTAGTATGTTAATTCCATTCCTGATCTTTTATCTGCATCTATTTGATCTCCCTATAGTTATTCTGGTTTTTGATTTTTCATCCAAAAGCATTGAGCTGTCTTTGTTGATTGCTAAAAATCATGAGCTGGGTTGAGATTTGAAGTTTGAAACTATGTAGTTCTTGGTTTTTCCTCACCAATAGTAATAGTTAAGCAGGTTTTCTTGATTGATACAAATCATGAGCTGTATTTTAAACTTACAAGTGTTGTTGTCTGCCATAAGATATTAACCATAGGATGCTTTCATTCTTGACATGTTCAGGCGTATCCAATTATATCCAAATGCTAGCCCATACACAAACTTCCTTGCTATGTTCTTGATCCTGGATACTTCCGTTGCTCTTCCTTCCAAAACTCGAGCATATGTGGATTACAGCCTTTGCTTGGTGGACCAAATTGATGGCAAACATAAAAAGTTATCAGGTTTGGTTGCGCTCACTATTTTTCTGCTTGAATCATAGCTCAAATGCCCTTATAAAACTTCAGGATCAATGGTGCCTTAATGTCGTAATGTATGTAGCTCTTTTCTACTCTGAGTCCTCATAATTTTCTTTAATAGATTGGCTTTGATATCGTGTACCCAAGTTGGTGATAAACAAATTCCAATCTTCTCCCACATCCGATGTAAGATTAAACTGAGAAGTTGCTTTGTTTTTGCAGTGCAACGCCAATTTTCTTCCGACGGTGTTGGTTGGGGATGGCACAAGTTTCTAGAGTGGAAAGATATGCAAAATCCATCAAGGGGATTCCTTCGCAATGACACATGCATTGTCGAAGCATCCGTTGCTGTTCTTGGAGAAGTCAGCATTACTTAGAAACACTGGTGTGTTAGCCTTCAATGACTTGGTTATAAATGTTTCAAGAAAAACATGTCTACCTGCACATTTATCATAAAATTTATGTATCTTCTTGTATGTATTCTGCATGCCAATTAAAACATTTATATCAAAAGGAAAATAAATAAAAAGGCAAATGCATTAAGATGGTTTGTTCCTCAAATGATTACTCTCTTCTCTCAGATTGAACATGATGGAATTTATAGGTATCTTTTGTATCGTATTTAATGGTTGTCGATGAATTATATTTTATTGGGTACTCACTATCTATTTGATCCATTCAAGCTGGATTTGTGTAACTATTATTCTGGTTTGTGATGAACATGAGCAGATAATACATAGCTTAATCAAGTTTTTCTACTCATATTTGGATTTAGATAGATTAAAATTAGCCGGTATCCTATTTATTACCATTGAATTCAATTACAGGGAGGAGGCCAAAAAGTGATCTGATATCAAGATTCACAGATCCTTAACTTATCTATGTGCTTCTTATGACATATAGGGGAAGAGTTATTTAGGCAGAGCACATGAGTTCACATGCGAGTGGAGAAGAGGGCAGAGAAAAGATAGAATGTCTTAATTTATTTCTTGGAAAAAGCAAGAGGAACAAATAATGACAACCAAATCCTTTGTTTATTTGTTGATTTGTTCTGCACTTTGATTCCTCTGTTGTTTGGAACCATGAATGAGGAATCTGATTCAGTGAGATTGGATCAGCTTGCAAGGATCAATATAACAATTCATTTCGTGTGAAATAAAACATTTGACCTAAGGATTAGGCCAAGAGATTATGGTTGCAGCAACTTAGGTGATAATTTTTTCTCATCAAATTTAAAATATTAACTCTGATTAAGCTTCATATCATCATGATTGTGTCTTGGAAAATACACAGTTCTGTTTCATCATTGTCAATGGAGATTTATAGCTGCCATTTTCCCCATCATTTGACTGCCAGTTTTCAGTGCTTCCACATACAAATAAATATATATTACATCCCCTGAAAAATCCCAGCATTTTTTTTCTTGGAGGAAAAAAATAATATCAGAGTTCTTAGCAGGCTGAAAGTTGTAATAGTTATAATGACTGTTATGTATAACACTTACCCTTAGATTATAAGAAGTAAGCCTTGCCAATCTCAATTACATACTTTCTTGATCTTCTTGTTGGCTCAGAAACAACTCATGGAAGGAACATCTCAAGCCCTCAATAAAACCTCTACTGTTTGCATACAAGTATATGCTCTCAGATGTTCTAGGAGTGCAATGCTTCTGAAGAACCATCTGACATAATTTTATTTTCAACCCTAAATAAATAGAAAACTTTAAATTTCTTTTAAACTGTTAGGTTATTCACCCAGCAATCACCAACCTGTAGTCTTTCTTCCAAAAAACAACCTTGTTTTACTTGATATTTCACCATTTTTGTTCTTTATGGACAACCTCTTCCAAGAAAATTAGGTTAGAGCTCCAAACAATCATGGCCTCAGTGGAGTGGTATCATTGATAGGCTTAAATTTTTGTGCACACAAGCTTCTGTCACATAAGGATAATTATCCACAGCTGGTCCCACTCTATTGGGGGAGAAGTCCCATCACATCATCATATTGCTTTGACTTTGTTCCTTTCATCTCTGTTCCTTGTGTCATAAAGCTAATACCAGCTAGAAGGAGCAAAAAGAGAAGAAAAAAAAGGCTAATAATTCAAGTTTCTAAGAGACTTGAATTGTGCCACTTTGAAGGAATTAATTAGGGTGATAAAAAGGACAGAAGTAATCTCTGATCCCAACTATTCACCTGCTTTTGTTTTTGGTACCAAATAGAGTGAAGATGGAAGAGAATGAACAGAAGCAGAAAGACATATACTCGATCTACACGAGAGGAGGAGGAGATGAAACCATTTGTAACTATCTGAGCATTTGTTTGTCTATATATTTGCCACAATTGAAGATGGCAAAAGGAAAACAGAAGACCACTCAACAGCAGGCAAATGATCACACTTGAGTATCTTTTTGTCAGTCATCTCCTCTTTGTTGTGGTACTTTTTCTGTGCTGCTTTTTTCTCTTACTGAGCTATCTCTTTACAGAATTCAGTCTGCTGTCTGTCCTTTCCTGTTTGTTGTTTGTGAGCCTGTAGAGTATTCTTGGTGAGTGGAAACCAGCAGCTGTGTGGTGACTGGTACACTATCAAGTAGAAGTAGGGATGTAGTCTGGCTGATTGCTTGATTGCTGAAGTTGCAGCTTTCCGTGACTCAGCTGGAGGAGTTGGGAGTTGGGAAGGGGAAGGAGAAGCGAAAGTAGCTTACACTATAAGAAGTTACCATCTGATTCATTACTGCTTTTTCATTCCAGAAAGCATTCAGAAATTGATGATGATGATGATGATGATGAACTCCCCAATCCCGCGTAATGTTTGATCGTATGCTTACTCTGGTTTATGGAGGGTTTCTTCACCCACCAGGCTACACCTCCAAGTCTACATTCCAATGGCTCCATGGCTGGAGGAGAACCTGTGATATAAACCAGACATGGGTCGTGCTACCATCTACCACAAGAAAACATTTGGCAGGAGTGTCGTTACCTCGGCATTTGGAGGAAGCATGATTTATGGGAAGCCATGTCGATGGTGGAAGTCGACGGTAGCAACGTAGAGGGAATTAGGTGGGCACTGCTGCTGCTCCCGTTGTTGACGATGGCAGCACTGGTCGCGGCGATGTCCGCTTCGGCGGCGGAGAAAGGATCGAGAGCGATGGACGATTTGGTAGGCGAAGCGAAGGGGCTGTCCGGCAAGATGTGCTCGGCGCTGTGTCCATGTTTTGGGGACAGAAGAAGAAACAGCTCTCACTCAATCAGCACACGAAGAACGCTAACTTGTTAGTGCTTCTGCAACTGTAGAGAGAGAGAGAGAGAGAGCCAATGGTTGAGTTGTTTAATGGTCTGATACCTTTCGTGGATATCGCTATCTTTATTGGGGTTCGCTTCAGCGTCAGATTCCTTCTTATCAGCAGGGTCGACTGTCTTTTTCTCGAGAAAACCATTGGAGCTGTTCATCTTCTGATCTGCTCCTACGATGCAAACAGGAGAAACTTGTGACGAAGAATCAATTAACCGATAATTAGATGTTCATCACAATCAAACTGACCTCCAGTTGGGGAGTGTTCTTGGCTGCTGCTGTTGCCGCTGCCATTGCTCATTGTGTCGGCTGTAGGAATGGTGACTGCTGGAGCAGCATGAATGGCAGGGGAGTTGATGGAGGATGGGGTGGAGGAGGAGAGGCTCCGGTTCTTGAGATCGAGGAGCTGGAGGTTCATGAGTCGCCTGGCGTGCAGCTCGATGGCCTGCTGTAGCTCCAGCACTTGCTGCTGCTCCTCCAGCTTCCTCCGCAGCAGCAGCAGCTCTTGGCCGCTGCTGCTGTTGTTGTTGTACAGCGTCCTTGCTCCTCCTACTTCGTCCAGCTTAAACTTCGGTAAGAGCTAGAAGAACAAGCAGAAAGAGTGATACAATGTTCAGCTTCAAGGATGAAGAATCTAACCAAGCTGCTGAAGGTCATATGCATCTCTAGATTCCAAGCCCGTGGGAGTCGAACACCCAGAAAAATTTCCCCTTTCAGTCTGCTGCTGCTTCCTGAATGAGTTCACACAAGAACATTGATGATGATCGCAAAGGAGAGAGAGAGAGAGAGAGAGAGAGAGACAGAGAGAGAAGAGTGCCTGCACTTGTCGGGGACTTTTCCCTTCTCCTTGTAAGGCTTGACGAGAACCCGCGCATCGCAGACGAAGTGGGGATTTCCTTTCGCCAAGATCAGCTTCACGGTCTCCGGGTAGACGAAGGTCACGAATCCAAACATTCGTTTTTGCTGGTACGGGATCCTCACATCCTGCACTGGCCCGTAGATACTTCGAAATGGAATGAAGCAGAGATCAGACAGATTTCAATTGTTGACTGAGGTAGGAAGCGAACGATCGAGACACAATCAACCTGAAATAGTTCGAGACATCTTCTTCGGTGAAAGTGCTGTCTGCAGGGAAGGTTAAGTAGATCTGCCTCGACCCCGGATTCGCCATCCCCGCAAGATCGCTCCTTTCCATCCTCGTCCGCATCAGTGCCGCTGCCACCGCCGCCGCCCTGTGAACAATCACAACACGTTGAAGAGACAGATGTGCGAATGTCAGCGCGAAAAATTTGCTACCTTTGGCTATCATTTTTCTGTTGGAGAAGGAAGTCGAGGCATTTGCTTGTCGACGATGGGGAGGACGGCAGCGAACCCAGCGGAGAGTAAGGGAAAGCGGACGCCGTGAGCTGCGTCGCGCCGCCGCTGCCGATTCTTTGGCTCTTGGACCTCAGCAGCAGGTCCGGGCACTGCTGCTCCAGCGCCGCGGCGTTTTCGTCTGGCAGACCGTGGAGGAAGCGACAAGCAGTGCCGTCCTTGCAATAACCTCTGGCGAAATAGAGGCACGGCTTCCAACCTAACCCGGCGGCATCGGAACGGAGGGGGAGGTCGGCGGCGGACCAGCTCCGGCGGTGGTGGTTCCCGTTGACGCCCCATCCCATGCGGTAAGGAAACAGCAGTCCGTCACCGCTGCCGCTCGGGCTACGACACCCGACGTCTGGGTAGAAGTCACATCCGCCGGCGGCGGCAGCGGCTCTTGGGCCCATATGAAACGAGTTGTCCGGACCAGAGCCGGCGGCTGGGTCGTTGAGGAAGGAGAGCTGGTCTTGGAGGTGGAACTCATCGACGAGAGGATCACCGGATGTTGAGCCGCCGTTAAAGAACGGAGAGGGGCTGGGGCTGCCGGGGCTGAGGAGCTCGTCGGAGCCGTGGAGCTCGTCCAGGGACCCATTGAGGGCGCTGTTCGCTCTACCGGCGCGGGAGAAGACAGGCGGCGGAGCGAACGAGGTGGGGGAGGAGACAGCGAGTGAGGAGAAGCGGGAGGAGGAGTTTTGTCGGGCGAGGAGGCCCAGGGGAGAAGGGGAGGTTGCAGCTGCTGCTGGAGGAGTTGGGGCAGCAGGGGCGGCGGCGGAGGAGGAGGAGAGAGGCGAAGTGGGAGCAGGGAGGCCGAGCTCCTTGCGAGCCTTGAGGACGACGGAGTGGAGGAGGGCCTCGGGGCCGAAGGCCAGGCGGATCATCTCCTTGTCGCCGTGCTCCT